GAAATGTTCAATACCATCATTTGTCCCGGTAATTTTGCATAATATGCAAAACTATGATTCACATTTCATTATTGGGGAACTTCGCTTTTGGTGGTGACGACGAGGGAATTGAAGTTATAGCTAAAACAAACANTCGACTCTTTTTTCAGGATTCTCTAAGCATTTTCCGTATATACAATTTATCATCAATTTAAAAAATTCAATTTCGAAAGTCGACTTGGCTTCTGTACGTTTTTTAGTATTTAAATCTATATATACCTTCATCCAAGCCGACTGTTCAAATTTTAATACTTTATTAATTTTTTTTATTTTAACCCCTAGACTAATGGCCTGTTTCAACGTTCGATAGTGAGCGATATAATTTTTTTTGTCATATAAATTTGGAATTAATTTTTTGAATTTAGATCCAGGTGGTATAATATTCTCCGGACATAAGGGTACGTCAGAATGATCGTTATGTAAATTCTCACCGTATTCTATATCTACATCTAAAATGACACCCCAATTATTATCATCCGCAATTTTTGATATATCTAAATCATTAATTTCATATTGTGTCATCCATTTAAAATTTCCATATGGAAGATGTTGACTCAGTGCAGCACGATACAGATTGTTTGCATCGAGGTATAATAAATATGTCGATGGTTTTGAATAATCATAGTCATCGCAATATTTATTATTAGCTTTACTATAATGAGATGAACATTGAGATACTCCCCTCGAATCCCATTACACTAGTTTACAACAAAATTGACCTATGACTTATGATAGTCATTTTTTATGTAAAATCGTCCACTGAGTCCGAAAATGAATTCAAAAATACAAAAAGTAGAACAGTTTTTGAGTTATTGCGAAATTAGCGATTTTCATGTATGGAAAAAAAACGTTTTCATTATATTCTAAATATCTTTAATTGTATTCAACCGATTTTCATTTTTTTTACATAAAATTAAACAATATTAAATTACCTATAACTTTTATCTTAATCAATTTTTTATCTGACTCTTTTCTCGTTTGCTATCTACGAATTTACCACTGAATTTTTATCATTTTTTTCAAAATGTCAGAAATAATTCAGAGTTTTACGTAAAATACATCAATAAAAAATAAATTTATCAACAATATACTCAATAGACATTATACTCTAATACATAACAAAGAAAATGATATATTATTTTGTAATATTGATAAAAAAATGAAGAAGTTATGCGCGATTGAAAAATAAAACAAATTTCCTAAAATGTAAACATCATGTCAAAACCAGTTCCACATTCACTCTCAGTTAAATATCCTGTTTTTCCAAAAGGAAAAAAGAATATAGTGAATCGCCCGAACCAAGTAATCATGCCGAGTGTAAGACTGACATTAGTTTTCAACATGAAAAAATTCCGAAGCTTTTTACCCAAACTGAACTTAATGATTTAATAAGACATTTGAAACTCTCANTACAGTTTGGTGGGGTTGTGATAAATTTTCGCATTTAAAAAAAAATGATAATTCTCTAAAAATATTAAGTAATTTTCTATAGAATTAAGAAAATTGAAATTGTTTTAGCATGGATTTAAAAAATTATTTTAAATATAGTAAATTTAACATATAATCGATAAAATAAATAATTAAGTTTTACAAAAAGGAAAACAATTATAATTTTCACTATATTTTTTGTAATTAGTTTTATGATAACCAAAGAATAATTTTTATTTAATTAAAAATAGGACGCATTAGTCTTAATATTTCTTTTATATGTTTCATTGTTTTCTCTTATAAGAAACCAACAATAGTCACCCATCATTGTTTCATCCCAAAACCCATAGTAACGACATTCTATATTATTTATTTGTTGATGAAAACGTTCACCATGCTCATCGCTTTCATTTCCAAGATTTTCAGGAAAAAAATCTAAATGTGCAAGAAGAAAATGTATTTTCAATGACATGTTCACCCCCATTTCCGATAAAATTAAAAATATACATGTTTCTTTTATTCAAAAAATAATAAAATTATAAAATGTACTGTTTACCTATTTTTGAATAGTTTATCAATAAATCGTCTACTATTTCTCTATAATTTAAAATTTTGAAGTTTCCTAAAAAAGAATATACAACCAAACGAAACGAGTTTGGTTGTAAACGCATCGGACAAATGTGGAAACACAGTTTTCAAATAAGTAAAGGAATTTCCATTTTTATTTAAAGCTTTAACAAAATTTTTAAAAAGTCCAAGTATAATATGTAAAGGTGGCAGGATTATTCTATTTATATCAACAAGAGGATTGAATTTGACATTTTCTTTGCCCACTGTTAAGTTTACTCAATCTGGCCAATATTTTCGTGTTTAATGTTCTTGACGTGCTCGACTATCCCATGTACACAAAAAACACATGTATTTTGTGTATCCTTGTTGCAAGCCAGTTACCATTGCAATGACTTTAAGGTCTGCCCAAATTTTCCAATTGTGTTGATTGTAGTTGATTAGAGAAAGTAATTAGAGATAGCCATTGATTCATACGATTCTTTCATATTTACAGCATGCGATAATGGAATTGAAAGTTTGATGTTTCCTTTGTGCAGTAAAACTGCTTTCAGACTTAGTTTATTGATATCAAAAAACAAACGCCATTCGGTTGGATCATATGGCTCACCAAATTCTTTAAACAAACCGTAAATGTCGTTACAATAACAAACATTGTTTTTTTTTTATATAATATNTTTTTTTATTTTAACCCCTAGACTAATGGCCTGTTTCAACGTTCGATAGTGAGCGATGTAATTTTTTTTGTCATATAAATTTGGAATTAATTTTTTGAATTTAGATCCAGGTGGTATAATATTCTCCGGACATAAGGGTAAGTCAGAATGATCGTTATGTAAATTCTCACCGTATTCTATATCTACATCTAAAATGACACCCCAATTATTATCATCCGCAATTTTTGTTATATCTAAATCGTTAATTTCATATTGTGTCATCCATTTAAAATTTCCATATGGAAGATGTTCACTCAGTGCAGCACCATACAGATTGTTTGCATCGAGGTATAATAAATATGTGGATGGTTTTGAAGAATCATAGTCATCACAATATTTATTATTAGCTTTACTATAATGAGATGAGCATTGAGATACTCCCCCTCGAATCCCATTATTAATAAAGCTAATCATTTCAATATCCGTCATCAATTCCAATTTTACCCCGGTAATTCGCTTCATAGCTTCGAAACTTAATCCGGGTGAAGTAATAAAATGACAAGGATCAAGCCCATAATTTTTTAAACAAACATTTCGAAAATTTTCAAAAATATCAGCTAAAAGAGAAACATCAGTTCTTAAATATAAGTCGGAATAATCCCCCAAAGTTAAACAGTTAAATTTATCCCAAACTTTTTTTGCATGGACATAATCCTCGTCTGTTACTTCACTCGTATTCAATAAACTACGGAAGGCGGATTTTGGTGGTAACGTGCATTCGTTCAGTACATTTATATCAGTTACATATTCGTATGGGAATACACCCTTACGACACATCAACTTAAATTTTTCATCATCAGAATACATTTTCCTAGTTAATTTAAACTGGTCGAGGGTCAAAGTTTCAGCTAATTTTTCTAACGATGATGGCATAAAATTTAAAGAATCAATAAATTTTATAGTAATCCACTTGTCATTTAATGTTTTTACACTTTTTTTTATAGCCATATATTTTTCGTTTGTTTTAGCTATAACTTCGATTCCCTCGTCGTCACCACCAAAAGCGAGTTCCCCAATAATGAAATGTGAATCATAGTTTTGCATATTATGCAAAATTACCGGGACAAATGATGGTATTGAACATTTCAGATTACAATCTCTATGTGCTGCACCTCGATACTTACCCGTTAAGTGACAGTGATCCATAACCTTCTCATGATAGCGTAGATTACCATTACAAATGTGGCAAGTGACTGCCATATTATAACTATATTCTTGTTGTGTAGTTAAAGCTTCCATGGATAGAGGGTTAGAATAAATGTCACTTATACGGATAATATCTTCTCTAAGTCTAGAAATAAACACCTTCATGCAATCACCCCCGCGGTATTCCTCCATGCGATCCAAATTTTCGTCATAAGAACATTTAATTAAATAAGAAAAACTATATGGTTCATGGACTGAAATTTTATTTGAATATGAATTAATTGGATTAGGATCGCATGTAGCAATAGGTGTTAAAATACTTTCAAAATCTGCGTAGATTACGTATTCCACGGGGAATTGCATATGGAAATTTTGAAATTGAACAATGTTTTTTGGGGGGGTTGGTAATATTGTTTTTACTTTCATACAATTATCTTGTTGGTGAGAATTTAACTTATGTTCGGAATAAAAAAATAAAAGACAGCCATCGCATAGAAATTTACGTGTCTTATGTTTAGAAAGCTGCGTAGATACCAACCGTTCCATGTTAGAAATACAACAAAAATGTCCGAAGGGTTTATCATTTTGATCTAAATATAATAAATTTACGTGTTTGCGGCGTTTATTTTCGGTTAAGTGCAACGGTCCAGCAATTTTTTCGTTAACATAAGTGTAAACATTTACACTTATTTCATTCATTTTTTCAAATTTTTTAATATGTGATAGTGCCAATGGGAGTTGTAACCCCCGAGTTTTTAATACAGTGTTGTAATGCGGATATGACTCTGGCTTAGTCGCATCTACAGAACGTGACTGAACCGGAAATAAACCCGCAACCACGGCCCAATAAAAACAGTCTTGTTCCCTACATTTAACATTAACTATGGCATTTTTGCGCAATAATTTTTTTGGTATATCTAAATTACACCCACCCCTCAATGGATCATATTTAAAAATATTAATATCCAAAAAAACTATTGCACTAAAAACCCATCCGCTCTCACGCGTTTCAACCTCTTCGGACTTTTTTTGCAGTAGATGTGTAATAGTAGTAATCCACTCTGGAATACTACTTNCTTTTTTTGCAGTAGATGTGTAATAGTAGTAACCCACTCTGGAATACTACTGGATTGCATTAAAATAAATGGTGGGATAGATAGATTTTGAGTTATAGTAGGTATCTCTACATCATCCCTATTAATATTAATTTTTTTATAAACAGTTACTAAATCTAATGAAGTTTTTATAGCTTTATGTGATATTATTGCATTTTTCCATACGTTTATGAGATCCGTAGAGTTTTTTTGAATAAATTCTAAAATTGAAAATGAATTGTTGTTCTCTATTCTATATATACATATATTCCCTGAAAATATGGATTCGATTTTATTTGCGGTGGAAGTTTTTGCACAATCACCTAAAATTTTAATAAAACTAATAAAAAATAATTCTTTTTATCATTACGTTTATATATCATACTATTTGTTATTGATTGATTCGATTGATGCACACACTCAATTCCCGTTCCAATCCTTTTCTTATTTTTACCTGATAATATAATGTATTTTAATATATAAATTAAGTTAAAAATTTAGTTTATATTAATATACTTACATTCATTAGCGTAATCAATATCTTCTGAATACTCTTCGATATCTAAAATATAAATATTCAAGTATAATATTAACACTTAGTTTTATTATTATTATTTATATTTACAGTTTTCAATATATTATGGGTAAATGGGAATTACTTCCACCTCCATCGAATTCACATCCATTTTTTTCGCAGCTTCCAACACTACACTCAGAGAAAAACCTCGATCTATATAATAAATTCATCGTTCAATTTGATAAATATATCATTACTATTGAACCTATGATATATTTATCAATATGATAGAGAAAAATTGTAGTGGTTTGTTTATCATTATAACAATGATGATATTATTGAAATAATAAAATACTCTATCAATATAATAAGTATAACTTTGTCATATTGATAAATTCATCGTACTTATGACGAATTATTATTGTATATCTAAATCACTTTGATAAATAATTTTTCATGGTGATGAAATAATTTTTAAAGAATTAAGTAAATTTTTTTCAATATGATAATGAATTTTTATTAAATTAACATACCAGTGTACAAATAAAATCCCATATTAAATTATAAATTTAATCTTAATTATGGTAATAATTTACTTAAATAAACACGTTATTTAATATATATATTGTGTAGTATTTATAATATTAAAAATAATTTAATGAACAACTTTTAATTTTTCAATAGTAAATTATAAATAAAACCTTTACACATGTGTATTTAAATAGACATATGGAATATAAACTGAAACGGCGTATTTATCACCTTTTATTTTTAATGAATTTTAAGAAAGCTTACAATCTGTTTATAGTATAAACTTTATACATTGGATGTAAAATTAATTTTAAATAATCAAATAAAAATTAATAATTTACAAATAATTAATACAAATGAAAAGAAGAAAAATATAAAGTGAAAAAATAAAAGGATTTTTCAATATAATATTAATATAATAATATTATTTTACTATTTTGTTGAGATCATGTAGCACTTGTTTTACTGTTTGATGGGAGTAGTCGTTCTTTAAAAATAATTTGTAGTAATATTGTTGAATAAATGTCCAGACAGCGCATGATGGAAGTGGGTATTCTAAATTAAAAACATGGAATATCTTAAAGCAGACATCCACTGCTCTTATTATTGAAAAAATTTTATACTTGATGGCATCAAAATATAATAATATATCTCGTGGTTTTAAAATCGTGCCAATAATTAAAATGAATGGTTGTATTGGCTGATTTCTACTTTGTAGTAATGCGATATAAGCTTCAGCTTGGTCAACTGTCTCGTGGAAACTAATTAATGAATTTTGAGAGTCCTTTATAGAATATTTAATGATATTTTTTTTTCCATTTTCATCTCTCGTCACTTTTCTCGACGTTGGCACGAAAAGCGAGCTTAATAGATAGAAGAATGCTGTATTTTTTCCACCTGACCAAGAAAATAATTAATTTAATGCTAAAATATCCTTTTATTAAACTGCTAAAATATTTTGATTTATATTTATAATAAAGTATTATTACTTTGACAAATGTCTGATCTTTGAGAAAGCTGTTCTACAAGTATTTTGCTATCTCGGTCTTTATTGTGTTTTTCTATAATATTCATAATATCTTGGTAAGAATCATCAAATGAATCGACCATCATACTATTATATTTGATAAGTTGTTTAAAGTCAATATCCACCTACAAAAATGTAATCCTTAAATTTAATTATTTTATGTATAAGCAATACATTTTACATACGAGTTTATATCCAAGGGGTAATCTATAACTAGCCCATTCATTTATTATTTCGTTTGTTTCTTTAGCCTCTCTAATCTTTTTAA